ACGCTCAGTTCCAGCACCGCGCGCTCGAAATACTCCTGTCGAACTTGCCCTCCGCAAAGTCTCTCACGGCGATCGGCTGTTTGGGTGTCCGGGCCTTCCACGGGCCTTGGTGTTCGTCTCGTGGCCCTCGTAATTCAGCTGGTGGCCCTAATAGGTCAGCTGGTTGTCCGCCTGGCGCTGCCTGTGGCTCTCGTAGCTCAGTTCGTGGCCCTTGCAGCTAAGCTGGTGGCCCTCGTGGCATTGCTGGTGGCTTTCGTAGATCAGCAGGTGGCCCTGGTATGATACGATGAGGCTCTCATGGCTCTGCATGTGGCCCTCGTAGCACAGCTTGTGACTCTCGTAAATCAGCTTGTCTACATCGTTGTTCGGCTCGTGACCCTCGTAGCTGTGCTGGTGGCTCTCGGAGTCCTGCCTGTGACCGCCGTAGCTCAGCTTGCGGCCAGGGGAGCGCCGCTGGAGGCGTTCGTGGCCGAGCTGGTGGCCCTCGGAGGCCTGCTTGCTGATCTCGCAACTCAGGTTGCGTCCCCTCGTAGACAATTAGATGGCCCTGGTCGATCAGCCGGCTGCCCTCGTAGCCCACTTTTGCTTCGTGGCTCAGCTTGTGGTCCTCCTCTGAGCTCCGCTTGCCGCCGCCGTCGATCAGCAGGTGGTCCTCGTAGTTCTGGCGGTGGTGGGCCACCTCGCTCAGCGGGTGGCCCCAGCAGCTCACTTGGGGTCCCTCTTGGCCGTCGTTGCTCAGCTGGTGGCTGGGATAGCCAGCTCGGGCCCTCGTAACTCAAGCGGTGGCACCAGTAGCTCCGCTGGTTGCCCGCGCGGCCCTGCACGTGGCAGTCGTAACTCCGCTGGTGGCCCTCGCCGGTGGCCCTCGCAGCTCTGCTCTGGTGGCCCTCGCCGGTGGCTCAGCAGGTGGCCCTGGCAGCTCAGCCGTTGAGCATCGTCGGTCTGCAGGGGGCCCTCGTGGCCCTGCTGCTGGCGCTCGGGGCCCAGGCTGTGGCTGCAGCAGCTCAGCCCGTTGCCCTCGCAGCTCCGCTGGAAGCTCTCCCTGAACAGGTGGATGCATTCGGGCCTCTGCGTGCTGCCCTGAGATCAGGCTGCGGCCCCCGTAAATCAGCGGGTGGTCCTGGTAGATCAGCACGTGCCCCCCCGTAGCTCAGCAGGTGGGGCTCGTCGCACTGTTGGTGGCCTCGCTGATGGCTCTCGAAGCTCTGCTTGCGGCCCCCGTAGCTCAGCCAGTGGCCCTCGCAGCTCAGCCGGCGGTTCCCGTAGCTCAGCAGTTGGCCCTCGTAGCCCTGCTGGCAGCTGTAGGAGCTCGGCCCGTGATCCTCGTACCTCAGTCTGCGGCACTCGCGGCCCAAGTGGTGCCTCTTGACGTTCCGCTTGCGGCCCTTGGTGCTCGGCTGATGGCATGCGCGGAATGTGTCCGACCACGTGGTATGCGCGGACTGTGTCTCAGTCAGTGCGCGATAAAGAAAGAGAGAAAGAGAGAGAGAGAGAAACAAAAAAAAAGCAGAGACGAGAGAGAGGGGAGAGAGAGACAGTGAGAGAGGAGAGAGGATCCATATAAATATAAAGAGAGAGTGAAAGAGAGAGAGAGAGAGAGAAAGAGAACGAAAGAGAGAGGAGGGAGCGACATACAGGAAACGAGAGAGCTAGAGTGAGAGAGATAGAGAGAACACGCGTATGGCAGGGTACATATATGTAGAGGGAGAAGATATAGGAGAGAGACAGAGATAAGTACGAGTGCCCACATAGATAGAGAGAGAAGGGAGGGAAAAGGATACATATAGAGAGAGAGCAATATATATGTAGAGAGAGAGAGAGACAACAAGCTATAGAGAGAGAGGGAAACAAACAACGCACATATATTTAGAGAGAGGGAGAGAGGAAGACGAACTAAATAACAAACAACACAACAAAACGAGAAGGAGACGAGGTAGAAGGAGGACGGAGCCCGAGGAGGAGGAGGAGGGGGCAGCGGCAATCTGCCTGGAGAGCCAATCCGGTCCTTGAGCCAAGGATGACGGGGAGGAACACGTGGAGGAGAATGCTCAGAGATGCTGCGAAAAAATGTCAATCCCCGAATGGACCCTCTACTTTCCCGTCCGTACTCGTCAAGTTATGCTCGGGGATCTTCTGACCCGGGTCAGTCCAGACCCGGGTCAGCAGGAAACCAAAAACTGCAATGCAGGAAAAAAAAACTGCAACGCAGGTTTTCGCAAACCTGGGTCAGCCAATATGTGCGGCCGCCTCGCGGCCACGAGCGGCTCGCTAACCCGGGTCAGCCAGAGGGGATCTTCGCAGGATCCTGCAGGATCCGGTGCCGTGGCTGACCCCCGTTTGCATTGACCCCCGTCTCAAGGCTCCCGATATGCGATGATTTGCAACTGCCGGTTTCGCTATGCTGGCATGCTGCTATTGCGTGCGGCATCGTTGGACACAGCAGGCTCGCCTCATGTCAGGACACGCATGAGGACAGACGGTAATGGATCAACACCAGGTTTACAATCGGGCGATGGCTGGTAGACACTTGGCCCACATATGGTTTAACACATGACTCGCAAAACTGATTCACAATGAAACGGCAACTCAATCGCATTGTGTCTCATATCTTGGGAGCCCGAGTTATCCGGGGTAACTCGGGTCCGGGGTAACTCGGGTTTGGATTCCCGAAAAAGGAACCCGAGTTATCCCTGACCCGAGTTACCCCTGATGCTTCGGGCTCTGCGGGGCCCGAGTTATCGGGGTAACTCGGGTCCGGGGTAACTCGGGTTCGGAATCCCGAAAACCGAACCCGAGTTATCCCTGACCCGAGTTACCCCTGATGATTCGGGGCTCTGAATATCGGCCCATGACCAATTGAGTTACAGCCAATCCAGGAGGCAACATCACGACACCAGGGCACGACACTGCACCACTGCAACACCGCCACGCGACGACACTACGAGACCGCGACGCCACGACAACCGAGCCCAACTCCACTCTAAACTCAACACTCCGTCACATCTGATGTGCACTTAACTCGCAGTTGTTCATACATGATGAATATACAACTGACCAAGGACAATCCTACACCCTAATCGTGACCGTATCAGAAGTATTGCGCAATGCGGCCACAACGTACTCACACATTTCGTCCGCTGAACATCCCCACACCATGTCTGCCACCGCTGGCAAGCCTGGAACGCGGCACAAGCCAACCTCGCAGAGGCGAGCTCGCGCATTGTTGAGCGAACTCGTGCACTGTTAGTAGCGCTCGCGCACTTTTAGACGAGCTCGTACACGTTAACGCAAGCCCGTGCGCTTTTAAGAAAACTCATGTATCTTTGCGCGAATTCATGCATTTTCGGACGTGCTCGTGCGCAAAACACCCACATCCTTTTCGCAGCCTCTCACGATAGGCTCCGCACGCCGTCACCACGACGCCACTGCGCGGCGACACCGTTACACAGCTTTCGCCGCGGCGCCGCGGTGCCGCCACAAACACGCGCGCCGCCCGCCGATGGGAGGAGCAGGAGGACAGGAGTGTGCCGCCAGCCCTACGGGCCATCGCGCTCGCCAGCAGCTTCGCACGCACGTCACGACACAACACAAGAAAGTCGCTACTCTGGTAGGTGCGGCTTTTCGAAGAGGAACAAATAGCATAAGCAAGAACTTTCGGAGTCTCGCGCGGACTTCTTGGATCGGCGCTGGACACCCCTCCCTGGCGCGCGGAGCGCGCCAGGGGCGGCGCCGGAAGCGACGCCAGGGGAGCCCGGCGGAGATCCAAGAACTCCTATCCCTCCGTCGCCCGCCATACGCCCTCCTCCCTCTCCTCCTCCTCCTCCTCCTCCTCCTCCTCCTCCTCCTCCTCCTCCTCCTCCTCCTCCTCCTCCTCCTCCTCCCCTTTTCGTCCTCTCTCCGACCCCACCGCGTCAACCTCCTTCTCCTCCTCCTTCCTTGGAGGAGGGAGGGGCGGCGCCTGACCGTTTCCGCCGAACTCCCCCCCCGTCGTTCGCTTCAGCCGCTCGTGCCTGCCAAGCCTTTGGAGCCCACTACAAACCTGCTCGCTGATGCGCGCTGTGCCGCTGTGCTAGCTGAATCGCGGCGGAACTTGCGGAGGCAATCGTTCAACTGTGAGGGGGGGGGGAAGAAGAGAAATCATTGCAACCATAACCTGCTCTTGAGGGTCGCCCCGACGGCTGCCGCAGAAGCCCTTGAACATTTGAAGCTGCTACATGACCACAGTGTGTTCATCGTGGTGGGGCGCATTTGAGGGGTCAATGCTGATGGTCGATGCTGAAAGTAATGCTAATGATTTTAATGATTGTTGTGACGATGATGATGATGATGATGATGATGTTGATGATGATGGCCATGATGATGATGACGATGATGACGATGATGACGATGATGATGATGATGATGATGATGATGATGATGATGATGATGACGAGGAGGAGGAGGAGGAGATTGAGGAGGGGGAGGGGGCGGAGGAGGACGAGAATGATGCTAATGGGAACCGAGCTCGAAGCGAGCGCCACGCGCGCCGAGTGCGCCAAACAAGCGAGGAGGCGGCCCAAAGACCCAAACGAGCATCGCGGCCAGGGCGTCCGCTCCGCGTCCAACTGGAGATGACTGCGCACATTACTCACACGCAAACTGGTCACGCGAGCATTTGCCATGCCAGAAGTTCGTCGCCGACATCGATGGCACGATGGACTGGAATCGCGCCAGTTAGGGCCGGAGGAATGAGAGCCTCGCAAGAACCAATCCAAGCGCTGCCGCGTGTTCGGCTGGAGATGGAGGTCGCGCGGGTCGCTGGCAGCAAAAGGCCACCACAGGTCGCGCCTTGCGTATAGCATCCACACGATGTGCACACCACGAAACCGCCCGCGACCCTGAGTCTATGCCCAAGGCACGCCTCGGGCGGCACGGGGGGAAGTGGCGCGGCAGGTGGGGCCACCGAATACGCGCGGGGCTGCCCCCCCCCCCCCCCTGGATCTCCTGGGTTTGGGCGCCGCATGGTGCCGCAGTCCCTGGCGGGCCCGCAAGCCTGGCCCGCGGCCGACTGGGCGCGAGAGCTCCGTGGAACCCGCCAGTCGCATGATGGGCCTGTTTTCCACCATCACCACCACTATGAGTTGGAGTGGAGGAGAAGGAGGAGGAGGAGGAGGAGGAC